AAAAAGTTGAATTTTAATCCAGGGGTAAAAAACTTACTGGCCACAAATAACCCCAACTGTGACCCAGTAGATCTCAGAGAGCCACCAGGGCACGTGTGCCCTAATCCCACTCACAAGCCCACTTCTGATACAAATGGGAGGGGCAGAGGCCACCTACCATTCTGGAGTTTACATATACCATAAGCCATAGCTTGTTTAGCCAGGGTTTCCAGACAAAAAAGCCACCGTTGGCTGGATTTGCACACCATCCCTATGCCAAACCAAAGGACCTGCCCCTGGGCTCAGCACAATGTGTCACCTTCTTTCTGGCATCTCAGGTACCCTCTCAAGAAGGACCCGCTGGGCCCTGGATCTCTTCCCTCCCTCTCCTCCTCATCTGCCATTCTTTATCTTGAACAAGTCAGTGCTCTTGCGTGAGTCACCCTTTCTGGGTTGGGCAGTTTCCAGGAGTGGAGGAGGAAGAAACAGGTTGCCTTGAAAGGGCCTGGACAGACAGCAGGTGGCGGGAGGGAGGCTGATCTGCTGGCGCTCATAGGACTTTATCAACAAAGCTTAACTCCCATTCCCTGTTCTGGTTAATATTAACCTTGCAAGCCCCATTGCACCATGCAAAGCACATGATGCTGCCCAGGGATATGTCAGGCCGTACGTTTAAAGTTGTAGTGCTTCTGCATGTGTGCAGAATATTTTTTTCTCTTCACTGAGAACCTAGACTTTGGGGTTCACAGGGAGTGTCCCAAACACTCTGTTTATGGGAAAATGCATTTAAATAGATAACAGTTGTCCAAACAATTGCAGGAAGAAAAGGCAATATGGAATGCAGAAAAACCCAGGGAAATGGATGCTAGGCCAGAACAGATATCACACTATCCTCCTTCACCCATAAAGGTAGCTCATGCACCCTGCCAAGTGGCGGGCGGGGGGGAAGTTGGGGAAGATCAGCTGGCATTGGGCACTCCTGCCAATTCTTTGGGGCCACAGCCACTACAGCTGGTAGGTCAGCCAGATACAGAGAGAGGCAACCTGTTGCTAATCCAGGCTGGGATTAATAACCCCCACCTCCCACCCTCGGGGGATCCCAATGTAAAGAGGGCTAAATGTCAGCAAGCTGTGTCAAAACAAGGGCTCCAAGATTAAGGGCTGGGATTTATCTATGTAAACAAAAAACAGCAAAAAAATCCAGTTAGCATTGTTCTCTGAAAGGTTTTGTTAACCATATTTTCTAAAGCATGTCATTTGACTTCTAAAAATCATACTACCCGATTATACATCTCTGTTTAAAAATATAATAAAATCAGTCCTTGGTCAAAACCTTGCACCATCACTTGGGAGGATGGTGGGCGTTCCATTTGGTTCTGCCCTTAAACCCCAGGGCCATTTTTTCCTTTTGCGTGACAGCCCTGATTTGCCATTCCCCCAGTGCAGGAGAAGAGCAGCAGTGGGTCCTCTCCTGCCCAAGCAGCCCCCCACCTGAGCTCACCAGAGGGCAGACAGGAAGGCAGGATGGTGTGGGAGGGGCACAGGCTCCAGGCTTCGACGGGGCCCTCGTGCGTGCTCAGCCCCTATCAGGCAGCGATGCAGCAATCAGTGGAGGATTCCATCCCAGCGCCAGGCCCCTCCCTGGGGCGGGAGGCCCCCCAATGCTGTCCCCAGGGCTACCGCACACAGACGTACTTGCTCCACCAGGCCTTGGAAAGGGCCCAGATGCAGCTGGGGGGGCCCCTCCGCCCCTTGGAGCACTCGCTGGCCCGCAGCCCCAGCACAATGGCGGTGTCAAAGACCTCCTTCAGGTTCTGCTGGGTGAGGGCTGAGCACTCCACGTAGCCAGCCAGGCCCAGCTTCCCGGCCAGAGAGCGGGCTGTGGCCGGAGGCACCGGCTTCTCCTGGCGCCGGGAGAGGGCAATCAGCACCTTGACGTCCTGGCGCAGGTCCGACTGCGTTCCCACCAGCAGCACTGGCGTGGAGGGGCAGTGGCGACGCACCTCTGGGTACCACTTGTCCGCAATGTTCCGGAAGGAGGTAGGGGCAACCACGCTGAAGCAGAGCAGGCAGACGTCGGCCTTCAGGTAGCAGACCTGCCGCAAGGCGTCAAATTCATCCTGGCAGCGGAGGTGGGGGAAGGGCACAGGAGTGAGGAGAGACTCGCCACTCGCTCTTAGAGGGCCCCCCCTCCTCCACTTGGGGCCCCGCAGTGGCTGCCTGGGATTTGCAGATCAACCCCTCTAGGGCAAGTCAGTCAGGGAACTCAGAAGTCCTCTTCGGCCCTTTCCAGATTACAAAGACAGCTTGGATGTGAGGCCTAAACCCCCCCGCGCCCCTGTTTTCAGGCTGTTTCCGCAGGAGAACTCCAGTTACTTGATTAATGTTGTAATAAATGATCAGTGGAATTTTGAGGAAGAATGTGCTCAGTGTGTGCAGAGTGCCTTTCTCCTACACCTTGTGATGGAGGGCCATCCTGAAAACGTGCTAGAGGAACATGGTCAGTGAAGAGACACACCCACCCCACCCCCGCTAGGGGTGGGGATCTGGAGGCAAGGGGTGTCCCAGGTGGGAAACAAAGCAGGGCTTCCTTTAGGAGCAGAGCGGGGCAGAGAGACTCTGCCTGGCTGCCTCCACTCTGGTGGGGAGCCTTCCGGGGGGCTGGGGAGAGGTGTGTTTACTTGGAGCTCCGCTCAGAAGAGCTGCTCCCCAGCGAGGAGCCCGCAGCCGTTTCGGCGTTATCCGTTTTGCAAAGAGCCCCGCGCCAGGGGCCTGGGGGGAACAAGCCAGCGCCGCGCGCGGCAGCCTGACTTCCAGGACGTCGAAGGG